CTGCCCATACTATGGACTCCATAGGGCCACACGCGCCCTTCCTCCTCCGGCGCTGTGCGCTGTGCTGCCCATACTATGGACTCCATAGGGCCACACGCACCCTTCCTCCTCCGGCGCTGTGCGCTGTGCTGCCCATACTATGGACTCCATAGGGCCACACGCGCCCTTCCTCCTCCGGCGCTGTGCGCTGTGCTGCCCATACTATGGACTCCATAGGGCCACACGCACCCTTCCTCCTCCGGCGCTGTGCGCTGTGCTGCCCATACTATGGACTCCATAGGGCCACACGCACCCTTCCTCCTCCGGCGCTGTGCGCTGTGCTGCCCATACTATGGACTCCATAGGGCCACACGCACCCTTCCTCCTCCGGCGCTGTGTGCTGCACTGCCCATACTATGGACTCCATAGGGCCACACGCACCCTTCCTCCTCCGGCGCTGTGCGCTGCACTGCCCATACTATGGACTCCATAGGGCCACACGCACCCTTCCTCCTCCGGCGCTGTGCGCTGTGCTGCCCATACTATGGACTCCATAGGGCCACACGCGCCCTTCCTCCCCCGGCGCTGTGCGCTGTGCTGCCCATACTATGGACTCCATAGGGCCACACGCACCCTTCCTCCTCCGGCGCTGTGCTGCACTGCCCATACTATGGACTCCATAGGGCCACACGCGCCCTTCCTCCTCCGGCGCTGTGCGCTGTGCTGCCCATACTATGGACTCCATAGGGCCACACGCGCCCTTCCTCCTCCGGCGCTGTGCGCTGTGCTGCCCATACTATGGACTCCATAGGGCCACACGCACCCTTCCTCCTCCGGCGCTGTGCGCTGTGCTGCCCATACTATGGACTCCATAGGGCCACACGCGCCCTTCCTCCTCCGGCGCTGTGCGCTGTGCTGCCCATACTATGGACTCCATAGGGCCACACGCACCCTTCCTCCCCCGGCGCTGTGCTGCCCATACTATGGACTCCATAGGGCCACACGCACCCTTCCTCCTCCGGCGCTGTGCGCTGTGCTGCCCATACTATGGACTCCATAGGGCCACACGCGCCCTTCCCCCACCGGCCCTGGTCCCTGCCTGCCTGCCTGCCTGCCTGCCTGGGGGCTGCTGTCCCAGGTGCTGAACACAGTGGGCGCCCAAGGGGAAGGAGCCTGCCTGAGGCTCCCTGACTCTCCCAAGAACCGTGAAGGCAGTTGTACACCGAGTGACAGGGTTGTCAGCACTGGAAAACGCAAGCAAAGCAGGATGGGGCGCTTCTAGAACGGGTCACCTTTGAGCAAGGCTTGCAGGAGGCTCGGGAGGGAGCCGTGCAGGGACCCGGGGAAGCGCCTCCAGGCAGGGCTGAACATGGGGTGGGAGGGAGCCCTGTCCACGCCCTGGGCCGGGGCTGAGTTTCTAGTCTGTCTGGGGGCTCAGAAGCCTCCCTGGTTTAAAGCAGGGGTGGGGGCCGGAGCCGGTTTGGCCCAGTGGCTAGAGCGTCGGCCTAGTGACTGAAGGGTCCCAGTTTCGGTTCCAGTCAAGGGCACATGCCCGGGTGTGGGCTCGATCCTCGGTGTGGGGCGTGCAGGAGGCAGCCGAACCATGACTCTCACTGATGTTTCTGTCTCTCTCTCCCCTCCCTTCCTCTCTGAAATTAATAAAAATATATATTTTTTTAAAAAAAAGCAGGGGTGGGGAACATCGACTCACAGGCCATGTAAGGCCCGAAAAATTGTTTGGTCTGGCCCTGCCAAGGCATTAGGGCCAGTTAATTAAATGTTTGACCAACTACAGCAGGCTGCTTTTTAAGTTGATGATTGTGTATGGCCTGAGGATGATGTTATAAATATCCAAACGGCCCTCGACAGAAAAAGGTTCCCCCCCTGGTTTAAAGGCAGTTGTGAGGAGGAAGGCTGGCCTGACCCACGAGCAGCTGAGCAGACCTTGCAGGCCAAACCGGTGGTTGGCGGGGAGCAGCCCAAACAGGTGACGGCAGGGTGTGCTGGGGCCAGACTGGGGTGCCAGGTAGAGGTCCCTGGAGGAGGGGATGTGACGGGTGGTCCCTCGGTGACAGGAGGCAGTGAGGTGATCTGGGGGGCTGCTGCTGTGGACCAGGAGATGAGGGTCTGGACTGGTCGTGTGCTGGGCACAGAGGGGAGACTCGCGTCACATGGGACTGGATGGAATCTGGGGGGCAGGGGAGGCCAGGAGGTGGCACCTGGTCAGAGCTGGCGACTCAGAGGGCCGATGTCATGGAGGGCAGAGATCCCACAGGAGCCATGGCCTAGGGAACCCCGTGCACAGAGGACGGCCAGTCCCCAACCAGACAGATGGCTCACAGATAGGACAGCAGCCCACCATGGCGTCTGGGTCTCCTTTCTGCTCATTCTCCCTGGGGCTGGGTTCTCCCTGCCGGAGGAGGGGCAGACCCCTGCATGGCCCTGTCTGCTGGGTGCCGCCTGGTGATGCTGGCGCACGGCCAGCCCTGGGCGCGTGGCGGCAGCCCCGAGGGATTGCTCTGCAGCTGTCTCGGGACTGGCATTTTCCACTGGCATCTCATGGGGAGGTGCCTTCCTGGAGAACGCGGCCGGGGTGGGGGGGGGGGGAGCTAGGAGCTGCTGGTCGAGCCCCGTGCCCTTGGTAAGGCTGGAGAAGGGGAGGGGTGAGTGCTGGAGAAAGGCCCTTCCGCCCCTTCCTGCATGTTTGAGCGCAGGCTTCCCAGGGCCTTTGCCCCAGATCTCCGAGGGCTGCCAGACACTTACCACAGGAGGACGCTGGCAGAGGTCGCGGGGCCCCGGCCACGCCCTGTTCAGCATCTATTTCCTGAGTGTGGTCTCCTGAGGTGCTGGGAGTACCGTGTGGGCGGGTCAGCCTGGGCTCACCTCACAGCAGCAGCCAATACCGACAGCTTGGAAACTACCAGGTGTTAGGACGCAGAGAAACCAGGTGACCCCGAGCCTGGGCCCCCTCTTCCCTGTGGGGGACCACAGGGCTAAGGGCTGGGACCTGATGAGGAGCCCCTTTGACGCTCTGGGCTGAGCCTGCCGACCCCCAGCCCCAGGGTGGCACAGCAGAGCTGGGGGGGGATCCCGGGCAGGCGCCGTGCTCCGGGCCTGGGGAGGAAGGTCCTGCTGAGCAGGCCTCTCCGGGTGACCCCAGCCACGTGTCTGAGGAGATGTACGGGGGTGTGGCCGGGGGTGTGGGGGGCAGGTTTCCGCGGTTCCCTTTGATCCGAGTTGCACAGGCCGGCGTCAGACAATAGGGACATGGCCCAGCCCCACACATTTACTTCTTCTGGGCATGCCTGTTGGCTCTGTCCATGGCCACACGGCTTTCTCTTGGTGGAACTCGCGTGTGCGGAAGACTTGATAGTGGGGACGCATGTGTGCGGGCTGCTGGGAACACGCCCCCTTGGGTGACCTCACTGGTCCAGGCCCAGGCTGCCTCCAGCACTTTCTTCCTGCAGCTCCGGTGTGGGCCGCACCCTGAGTGGCTGCTGGTCCCACCCTGGGCGCTTGGCGGCCCCGCTCGCTGCTCAGCGGGTATTGCCCACCTCAGGTGGTCTTGTGGGCCCTTGTGCAGGGAGCGGCAGGTGGAGGACAGTGAGGGAGGTGGCAGTGCAGGCTGGGCACCACCAGAGCCCCCTGGGGCGGCGTGCTGCACTTCCCGGAGCCCCGCGTGGCCGGGGTCAGGACGCACGGACGGTGAAAGGGCTTCACTCCGAGGTGCGCCTTGCGGCTCTTTATCTGTCCTGTCCACCGTGGCCCGTGGCCATGCCTGGCTTCCTCCCCGAGCTGACCTGAGTCCTCGCAGTGCCTGGGAGGCGTGACTCATAGCCCGTGTTCAAGGGAGGGAGCAGAGGCTCAGAATGTGACCTGGAAACGCGCAGGCCTGTCTCCAGAGCTGGCGTCTCCCGGCTCCCAGCCCTGCCCGCTGGGCGGTGCACACACTGCCTTTGCCGGTTCCTTGTTCCCCCGGGAAGTAGCTGCTCACGGAGGAGCCCGATCTCCCGCAGAATGTCCGGGGAGCAACATTTCCCACGTGACCTGCTCTGTCGGGACAGAGCCTCATCCCCGTCGGGAGTTTCCGGGACAGCCCTCCTCCGCCCGTGTCCCCTCGAGGTCCGGGCGACTTCCTGCTGTGCTGTGGACGGCAGGTCACACTCCCACTGCCCAGCGGGCCCTGCAGGTGTGGCCTCACCTTGGCCCTCACCTGGGCTCCCAGTGCTTTCCCTCCCGTCCCTTTCCTCCTCTCGCTCTCGCCACACCTCCCCCTCCCCTTCCCCACCTTCCTGCCCGAGGTCTCCTTTGCTTGTCAACCACCTCCCCGCCCCCCGCCCCGGCTGCTGAGAGCCCAGCTGTTTGAATGCTATTCCTGGTGGATGTGTCAAAGGTTTGTTGTTTTTAAGATACAGGACAACTAGTGTAAGATCTTTCATGGAGTGGGAGGGCCCGGCTCCCAGTGACACACGCCCCGGGGGCCCACGCACCTCGGTCCTGCCTGTGAAGTCAGCTGTCATAGGCGACGCGGGGCTGCACGCCCTGGCCCCTCCGCGTCCACGCGGCTCAGCGCCTCTTGTCTTGCAGAACACCCAGTGCATCCCCAACGGCCTGGCGGCCTACTACGCGGAGCAGGACCCGCACTCCCCGGACAAGTTCTACGCGGTCGTGAACCACTACAACCTGGCCAAGCAGAGCATCACCCGCTCCGTGTCGCCCTGGATGTCTGTGCTGTCGGAGGAGAAGCTGTCGGAGCAGGAGACCGAGGCCGCGGAGAAGGCAGCCTAGCGGGTGGGCAGTTCCTGACGGGGGGCCACCTGCAGGCGACAGAGGGACTCAGAGGGACATTTCATTAAATATAATTACCGGTAATTTAGAGGTTACTCATTATGGTGCAACCGCTTCCGTCTGCTAATGCTGCTTTGCAAATATAACTTGCAGCCCACCCCGGGCATCCCCGGCGTGTGCCGCGCTGCCTGGAGGGCTGGCGCCACTTTCCGCGGGAGGAGCCTCCACGTAGCTGCTGCGCTGCAATTTATTGGATGTGGCCAAAAAACAAACTTACACTGGACATGCGAGGGGTTTGGATTTCAGACAATGCGTTTGTGGAATTTTTTTTTTAATCCTCACCTGAGGATACACTTTTTAAAATTGATTTTTAGAGAGAGAGAAGCATCGATGTGAGGCAGAAACATGGATCAGTGTCCTCTAGTGCTCGCCCTGGACGGGATCAAACCTGCAGCCTGCTGGTGTGCGGGCTGACGCTCCAACCCACTGAGCCACCTGGCCAGGGCTGGCATTTCTTCTTTTAACACCTGGCTGTTTGGGACCTAATGCCCCAGCCACTCAGAGCAGGCGGTGCTCCCGCTCCCGCCAGACGGCACCAGTGCCGAGCCGTGCAGAGGACGTGTGCCACCAGGTTACTGTCAGGCCGAGTGTTGCTCGAGTGCATGTCGTTGAGTCAGTGGGTGGGGAGGGGCCTCAGGAAGGGGTGGCCTGGGCCCGGGCTGCAGAGCGCCCTGTCCCTGTAGTCGTCCTGCTCGTGATGTGTTGGTTGAACAGGAACGCAGCCCACTGGCCCCTGATCACTTCTGTCGTGAATACTCGCGCACAACGGCCCTATTGGCAAGTTAGTTTTTAAACAGATAGTTGGGTGGGAAAAGTGAAAGTGTCAATGCTGGAGGCCAGGGCACTTTAACTTAATTTTGTGAAACAGATGTAACTCATTCGACGTCAGAAGCAGGCAGGAAAGGCTGGGGCGGGGCTGGGCGGCACCTCGCAAGTCCAGTTATGACATTTCAACTCACAACCTTTGTAAGAATGTTGTTTCAACCGAATCTTGACATTAAAGTATATGTTTATAAACTGCCAGTTAGATAAGTAAGTGTGTAAGACGATTAAATAGAACTAAGACATCCAGCCATTCCTTCCGTGTTACTTGAACGTGTCGTTTCTGGTGGACGTGTCACAGGTGCCGTTTTTAGTGGATCAGAAATAAATGACCGTGAGACCTGCTGCGAGCACATGGCTTCCTGAGGTGCGCGCTGACGCAGACGCTTTCTCACCAAGCGTGTCCGGAAAAACCGTGCCTGGAAAGGGCCCGCACCCGCAGGGCAGTGGGCCTGCTGCCTCGCGTGCTGCGGAGCTGTGGGGTGCCCACGCTTGCACACAGTGATGACCACGGGGGCAAAGGGTTCCCACACCTGCTATCTGTAGGCAAGTTCACGGGCCGAGGCAGCCCAGTTGCAGTTTTGAGTAGACGGACTTTATTGGTTGTCGTTCATTTACACAGAGAACACGAGGGTCCCTGAGACTGCCCAGCAGACTGTCTGCACAGCACGCATTTCACAGGCCCAGGGCCCCAGGACGCTGTGTGCAGATGCGGCTCCAGCCCGTGCTGCCATTACGGACGGTCCCATCACATCTCCTAGGGCGTCGATGCACAGCGGGAGCAGCAGGCCCGGGCTCTGGGGCCGTCCCTTCTCTGAACAAAAGCTCCTCAGGCCCCAGCGGCAGGAAGTCAGGCTGTGCCTCCTCTGAGCCCCGAGACGCTGGTGGAGCGAGACCTGCGGTGCCCTCCGGGCGCAGCCCCTCCATAGCTGCCTCCTGCTAGACAGGATAACAACCCCTCCCATTTCCCCATCTGCCTCGTGTTCATTGTTGTCTCGTTCAGCTACTAAATGGGCTTAAAACTCCAGGTTGGTTTGTGTCCCTTTAGTGGAGTATGTGTCTCTCAGCGCCACCTGCTGTGGTCAAACCTGGTCAGGACTGACCACAGGCCTACGTGGAGGCCAGGCCTGCGCGCTGCCGGAGCGGGACTAGCTGTCGTACCAGTCGAGGAAGAGCAGGGAGAAGGAGCACATCACCAGGAAGAAGAGCACCCACACGCGGAAGCCCGCGTTGTTCTTGATGGCCTGGGGACAGAGACGGGCATTTCCTGGGTTCCGGGCGCAGGGCCCGGGGCTCACGGACCGCATCCCTCCTCCCCACCCCATGTCTGTCCAGCCTGTGCTTACCCTGAATGGGCGGCTAATGATGAAGCAAAACCAAGAGGTCGGTTTGAACCCACGAGAAGACAGGGCGGCCCCTCCCTCCCTGGTCACCATCACCCAGGTCCTGCACAACCTCCTGGGGACCCGCCCCCGGAGATGGCCCCTGTGCCAGGGTTGAGACCGAAGGCTCAGACTCAGGGCTCCCGCTCCTGGCTGGGGTCCCAGCAATGGGAGGGCGTGGCCTCGGAGCAGTCCCAGGCCAGCTCAAACCCCAGCCACACTCCTGACAAGGTCCCTCCACATCGGCCTGGGGCCTCCATGCACAGCGCCAGCTCTGCCTCTCGTGCGGGTCTGACACGTGACTCCAGGAGCACCACCTCTGGTTCAGGGAGCGGGTCAGACCCTTGTGGGAGCACCCACGCTCCTCTGGGCGGCAGGGGGCCCTGGGCGGCGAGGTCAGCAGCCCTGCCGGAGGCTGATGCTACTGCCGACCATGTGCCTATCAGACTGGGCCTGGAGCACCCACCTCTCTGATGTCCTCGTTGCCCTCCTTGATGTTCTCAGTGGCGCCCACGACCAGCTGGTGGATGCTGTCAATCTCTGCTTCCTGGAGGACAGGGCAGGTGAGCACTCCCCCACCTCCCCTCCCCACCCCCGACGTCAGTACGGACCGCAGTGGCCGCTCACGAAGGGCCGGTTTACACATGAACCCGTGTACCCCCATAGCACCCTCACATTACAGAAGGGAACTTAAGGCTCAGAGAAGTTTAGTAAGTTGCCCAAAGTCACACAGCCAGCCAGTGCAGGACAGGATTGGGCCCCCAGTGCTTGCACCCCGCCCAACCTCTGCCTGCCTCCTCTCCTGCCCACGGCCGGGAACAGGTAAGAGCGGGGATCACGGCGGCCCCCACGCCGGGCGCCCTGGTCTCACTCCTGGGAAGTGCAGAGAAGCAGCTTCAGATGCACGTGCCCTTAGACGCGCGCTGGCTTCGCACGTACGCCGCCTCACCCGTGGCTAAGGCTCAAACTTAAATATCACAGTAGGACGCAGGGTGTCTGCAAAACATCTACCCCCAGCACTTGGGATGCTTCAGAAAGGCAGGTCCTGGGCTTCCCGTGGAGCCCCTGTCCAAGCAGCCCCCAGCCCGGCACAGGCAGCACGGCTGGGGGCTTGGGGCCGCCTTCCTTTAGGGGAGGGGGAGAGTGTGTGTGAGCGTATGTGTACAGTGTGCATGTGTGTGAGTGTGCACAGTGTATGTGTGAGAGTTTACGTGTAAAGTGCCTGTGTGAAGTGTGTGTGTGTACAGTGTGTGAGTGTGTACGGTGTGTGTGTGAGAGTTTACGTGTAAAGTGCCTGTGTGAAGTGTGTGTGTGTACAGTGTGTGAGTGGTACGGTGTGTGTGTGTGAGTTTACGTGTAAAGTGCCTGTGTGAAGTGTGTGTGTGTACAGTGTGTGAGTGTGTACGGTGTATGTGTGAGAGTTTACGTGTAAAGTGCATGTGTGAAGTGTGTGTGTGTACAGTGTGTGAGTGTGTACGGTGTATTGGTGAGAGTTTACGTGTAAGTGCCTGTGTGAAGTGTGTGTGTGTACAGTGTGTGAGTGTGTACGGTGTATGTGTGAGAGTTTACGTGTAAAGTGCCTGTGTGAAGTGTGTGTGTGTACGTGTGTGAGTGTGTACGGTGTATGTGTGAGAGTTTACGTGTAAAGTGCCTGTGTGAAGTGTGTGTGTGTACGGTGTGTGAGTGTGTACGGTGTATGTGTGAGAGTTTACGTGTAAAGTGCCTGTGTGAAGTGTGTGTGTGTACACTGTGTGTGTACGGTGTATGTGTGAGAGTTTACGTGTAAAGTGCCTGTGTGAAGTGTGTGTGTGTACACTGTGTGTGTATGGTGTGTGTCTGAGAGTTTACGTGTAAAGTGCCTGTGTGAAGTGTGTGTGTGTACAGTGTGTGAGTGTGTACGGTGTGTGTGTGAGAGTTTACGTGTAAAGTGCCTGTGTGAAGTGTGTGTGTGTACAGTGTGTGAGTGTGTACGGTGTATGTGTGAGAGTTTACGTGTAAAGTGCCTGTGTGAAGTGTGTGTGTGTACAGTGTGTGAGTGTGTACGGTGTATGTGTGAGTGTTTACGTGTAAAGTGCCTGTGTGAAGTGTGTGTGTGTACACTGTGTGTGTATGGTGTGTGTCTGAGAGTTTACGTGTAAAGTGCCTGTGTGAAGTGTGTGTGTGTACACTGTGTGTGTATGGTGTGTGTCTGAGAGTTTACGTGTAAAGTGCCTGTGTGAAGTGTGTGTGTGTACAGTGTGTGAGTGTGTACAGTGTGAGTGTGAAGTGGGAGGGAGGAAGGGAAGGGCTGTTCAGAGCGTGGGTTTGGGGCAGCCTGATGGGCACCGTGCTGTGGGGGACGCAGCCTCCAGCCACCTGACCCAGCAGTGAGTGTGACACTGGGCACTGCCCGCTGCTGTCACCTCTTAGAGAGTCAGGAAGTGGGAGCTTGAGAGAATCAACGTGAGCAACGGCCACACAGGTGACAACCCCCAGGCAGACCTGACTCTCAGGCCTGGAGACTCGCGAAGCCAGGGAGGCACCGCCTTTCAGACCCTGCACGGGCTGTGGAGGCTCCAACCAGGGCAAGTGCAGCAGGTCGGTCGGAAGGTGTGGCCAGCTGCTGGCTGGAGGCTGTCAGAGCTGCAGGCACACGCGGCCCCGACACCACGGATGAGAACCCCAGCTCCCGGAGGGCCGCGCAGCTGAGGCGGCCGGGGCGGCACCTGGAGGGCGGGGTCGGCCGCTCACGGCTGGTTAAAAGGCCGCTACCCATCGGCCGGTGCCGGCTGGACGCTTTCTGCAGGTGATCACTGACCTGGCAGCGCGGCCACCCATTTTCTAGATGGGAAAGCCATACTTGGAGGCGCGGCCCTGCCGGCTGAGGGCCTGCGGAGCCGAGACCCACGCTCCTCCCTCCCGGCCCCGTGGCCCGGGCCTGGCCGGCCGGGTCCACGTGGAGAGCTGCCCGGAGACCGAGAGGCCGTGGCTGGGAGCTCTGCGGCGAATGCACCCTCAGCAGCACCTGGCCGCGGGCACAGCCCCAGACAGACCCCTTCGGCGGTGCCCCGAGCGCCTAGGACCTTCCTCTCTCCCCTGAAACAGCTGTCCTCTTTCTTACCTGCTGTAAAACCTTCTCTGTGAAGATCTCTTGGAGTCTGGAAATTTCAACCACTTTCCCTTCAATTTGCCTTCATTAAAAAAAGAGATCACAGATTCACTCTTAGTGCTTGGCCATCTTCACAGGGAGGTCACACAGTTCCAAAGAAATCTCTTCTGGGTGAAGATGTGTGAGAGGAGGGGGACACTCTGTCACCGGTGAGAGGGGAGGGGTCACCATGCCGGGCTGGGGAAGGGGTGGGAAGTCCCCTGAATGTCTGCAGCCCAGTGGGGTGCGTCAGACTGTGGGAAATCGCCCTCCCGTGTAAGCGGATCCGTGTGCCCTGCCTCTGGCCAGAGGGTAGGGCCAGGAGCCTGTGGCTGCGCCCAGTTACGAAAAGCAAAGCCTGTCAGGCCTGCACCTAGCTGTGCCCAGTGACATGGAGGGAGTCGGAGAAAACGTGAGAAGATGTTGAGAGCCCCTTACTGATCCGGGGGTCAGGGGAGGGTGTATTTATGTTGGCCACTCCCTGCGGGAAGGGAGCCCCCTCTGGCCTGTCTGAGAGCACCCTACCGGGGTGGCGCCTTCCCCATGTCAGGGCAGCAGGGGTGGGCTGGGCGGTCAGGGCACTGGAGGTAACGCTGTCCCAGCACAAGCAGTGACAAGGGAAGAGGCGAGAGGCTGTGGGCAGAAGCGGGGCTCCAGCCCAGGCGAAGCGGAGATGCTCCTGGCTCCTCCCAGACCAGCTGAGGGGCAGGAGGGGGCTTGGGGGAAGAGCAGGGCAGCCGGTGGAGCTGTCTGGGAGGAAGGACTAGGAGGCCCACAGGGAGTGGAGAAGGTCCCGGGTTCTGGAGTTGTAATGAGGCCAGAGCCGGCAGGAACTGCACACATACCTCACTTCATCGAACAGGCTGTTCATTTCACCGATGAGGCGCTGATTTTCTTGTTCAAACTGCAAGGAAACAAACACGTTAAACATGAGATCACACTCAGGTCTCAAAAGCGCTGCAGCCAAGGACACGTGCCCAGCAGGGCCTGCACAGAAGCCTGGGTTCCTGAGGCCACCTGGGAGCAGCGTCCCCCGGGTGCAGGGGACAGGACTGGAGAGGTCTGCCAGGGGCCAGCGCCTGTCTGGGCAGCGGCCTGCACTCTAGGGCGGCCACAGTCAGGCTGTGGTTGAAAACCAAACCTGCCTCCCCAGCCGAGCACAGGGCAGCCCCTCAGTGAGGCCTGGTGGGCTCAGGCGAGCGGGGAAAGGCCGCGCTGCCAACAGCACCCACTGACACCAGGTCTCAGGAAGGCTTCCGGCACTTTCTCTGGGAACTCGCCCAGCTGGCAAACTGGCAGCTAGAGGGCAGGGAACTAAAAGATGTTACTCTTGGCATCGTTCAGTCATTATATGCTTTCTTCACGTTACCACAGCACCAACGATTCACACAAGTAAGAGGCGCCAGGGCACCAACTACAAAACACCATTTAGTCTCGAAGACATTTTACTGCTGCTGAAAAGATATCTAACATTATTCCAAGGCAATTTCTCCTTTAAGTATGCGACTGCAAATTTAAAATACATAAAAAGCATACCAAGAATTAGGAAATCTAGTGGATAAGCTGTATCTAAAATAGTTATAACTTTTAAAACTCGGTGTACAGGGCAAGGGCGTGCCGGACGACTTCCTACTGAGTAAGTCTTGCGAACGGGCTGAAACCGAGCGCCCAGGCAAAGAGCAGCGTTACCATCTGTATTTCCTCTGGGGAGAGCTCGTCTTCGCCTCTGCCGTCTCCCCAGCTTCCCAACTCGGGCTGCACTTCAGCTGGAATCTTTTCTGTTAAAAATAAACAGAAGACAAATGTTCATTTTAGAACGAACGGGCTGCAGGATGCAGACAGACATGGAAACCAGAGAGGGAGCTCACGGGCGTCCATCTTCAGTCACCTGCCGGCCAACAGTCAGGCCCGGCAGCCTGGCTCCTGGACGGTGTTTAGACCCGTGTGTGCGTGTGTGTGGGCGTGTGCGTGTGTGTGGGCGTGTGCGTGCGTGCGTGCGTGTGTGTGTGTGTGTGCGTGCGCGCGCGTGTGTGTGGAGGGCACCTATGCGTACTGCACTGATTTCAGTGATGGTTGTGAACCAATGACCATTCTTCCGGACCGGCCTTCCCATGCTATTTTACTTCAAAACACACCCGCTCCCTATGCTTTCTGAAGATTGCGGAATGTATGGGCATTTTCTTGTAAAAGAATCATCTGAACACAGAGTACAGGAACAAACCACCCCTCCTCCCATTCCTCTCCCGGAAGGACCCTCTTATGCTTTGATGCAGCCCCATAAACTTTATCGAGGCACATCCACAAACAGGTACCAACTCCCTGCCCCTCCCCACCCCAGAACGAGGGTATGCTTTTGCGTGAGGTGGTCTGTTTTACTAAAAGATCACAGTGGTCACACACTGCTCTAAAACGCGCTTTCCATGACTTACCATGTACCTCGCAGACCATCCTGTGCAGGTCCACCCAGATCTGCCGCAGCCTTTAAATCGCTGCACAGGGTTCCACTGCAAGGACCCGCTCCCACGTCACCACAGCTCCCCTCCCTGACCACTCACTGCTGTTTCTCACACCGTGTGCCGGCCCACACACAGGCTGGAGGGCTCAGCACGGACCTGGGTGTGGGTGCTGGAGAACTGTGTCCTCCATGAAGCACCGAGCACAGGCTCCTAGCAGGGCTGCCTGCCTAGGGCCGGTCCGAGGCCCGTGCACTTTACACGGCGGACGAGAGAGGGGGAGGGGGAGAGGACGGAAGGGACCAAGCCTCCTTGGTGGAGACCACGATGGGGTCTCTCCTTCCAGAGGTGACTCTGTCTGGTGTCAGTGGTGCCTCTGGGGGCTGCCAAGTACCCGAAGGCTGATCTCAGCCCTCAAGATGGACGAAGGAGAGCTTCTGCTCAGACCGATCAGGCAGCGGAGCACCGTGACAGCACAGAGCAGAGAAGCGACAGGGCCGGCCATGCGCACAGGCGGGTATTCGGGCTACATCGTCACAGAAGCCCACGCCGCCTGCGACTTCGTGCGCAGTTTAACATAATGGCTGCATGGCTGTTTCTGCCAGAACTGTTATCATATTGGTAAGACACACATATAGATAATTGTATATAATATACAAGTAAAATACCTACACAATTTACATATAAGATACGTTTATAGAAGCCAGGCTGAAAGCAGCTTTGGAAGCGGATGTGTTTTCTGAGATGACATCTTCAGGTAAGAACACCTGTGATTTCCCTCATCCCACCTGTCCCCAGGGCCCGCGGTCCCCTGCTTGACCTCATTACAGTATCCATGTCGAGCTTTTACTTCTATACTTTTAAGGATAAGACACAAAATGAGGAACACGGAAGCCAGCGAGAGCCAGCTCTGAGCGGGACCGGCCAGCGTGTTCAGGGAGCTCCCGCTCAGACAGCTGGCTCCCCTGCGCCCCGGGCCATGCTGCCCGCCTGCCGTGGGCGTCAGCCAGTGCCTGCCAGACCCGGTGGCCCAACAACAGCAGACAGGCCAGGCCCCGGCCCCACCCCTTCCCGGCCTAATCCCACCCTCCGCCGTCGTGTGCCTCGCCGGCCCCCGTGCTTTCTTCACTCTGATATTAGTCATGCGCTCCCTCTGCCCCAGCAAACAGGGCGGCGCCTCAAAATCGGGGCTTCCCCCACCCCTCGCGCTGCTCCACCCCGAGGCTGGAGGTCAGCTCCACGCAGGCCACTGCTGACTGTGCCCCAGGTCACGGGAGCAGCGCACAGCACCCCCTTCCTGTGACTGACACGCCAGCCCCTTGAGCAGAGATCTCCTCCTCAGGGAGCCCAGGCCCACCCCCTGGGGCACAGCAGTGTCAGCCTTCCTCCTGGGCCCCGCCAGCTCCGGGGGATGGGGTCCTCCCACCTGTCCCCCGAGTGGCCGTACGGTCCCCTGTGACAGGGAAAGGCTGCCGCTTCCGGTTCCCCCTGCTCTACGGGACGCGGACAGCACGCCTGTCGGCTGCGCGCCTGCTCTCCCACTTGGTGTTTTTGCCAACAGGTCCCTGGAAGGGACGCAAGCACGACTGTGAATCGGACTGTTACCTGCATGTTCCTCGGCGACCGGCTTCTCTCCAGAGTCCTGCGAAGGGTCCAGGGAAACTTCCTCAGGAGAACCGGGTTCCCTTGTCTTTGCGGTTGCTTCTGGCTCCAGCTTGGCTCTGAAAGGAATTGCCGTCATGGCATTCACTTAGGCAACAGCATTCCACCTCGACCACAGGAGGGAGCCACACGGGCCCGACATGCTTGTTCTGCGCCCCCTGAGAGCAGAGCTGCACCTCTGGCCCAAGGACCACCCTGACGCCCTCTAGGGGGAACAGGGGGAACTTATTCCATATTCCAAGGCCCTGCTCACGGTCTGCAGGGTGAGGGCAGGGGAGGGGCGGTCAGCATGTGCTGGAGCAAAGAACGCAGGAACCCGCCCCCCATACTGACACCACACGCAACACGCGGCAGCGAGGCTGCCCCCTCCGGTTCAACAAGCGCAGCAATGCAGTGTCGCCGAATACACCACACGCGGCAGCGAGGCTGCCCCCTCCGGTTCAACAAGCGCAGCAATGCAGTGTCGCCGAATGCACCACACGCGGCAGCGAGGCTGCCCCCTCCGGTTCAACAAGCGCAGCAATGCAGTGTCGCCGAATGCACCACACGCGGCAGCGAGGCTGCCCCCTCCGGTTCAACAAGCGCAGCAATGCAGTGTCGCCGAATACACCACACGCGGCAGCGAGGCTGCCCCCTCCGGTTCAACAAGCGCAGCAATGCAGTGTCGCCGAATGCACCACGCACGCACGTCTGTTACATGACACACACGAGCAACGTCGCATAGTAGCTTAAACAAGGCCATCTTTGAACCGCTGGATGGCCCAACCTGCCTCAGGAGCCGCACCGGCACTGCCCCGGCTCCTCCACGGCTGTGCTGTGTTCCGCCTGCCGGGCCGGCTCCATCTCACCCGCTGAGGCTGAGGCTTACTGTGTACTGAGCCTTCTCCCACTTTCCTACCCACAGGCCTCTGCCCACTCCCCGGCACCCGCCCCTGCTCACGGCTCCTGCTCACGGCCTGCCCCGCTCCAGCACGCGTGCTCTGAGAGAAGTGGGGCTCTAAGTCCTGTTGCTGTGTATCTAGTTCCCGGATGAGGGCCTGGCATTCAGCGTTTAAGAAATACATGTTGGATGAGTGGGCACTTTATACCTGTCAGTAAAGGGCCAGGAACAGAAACAATTTTGCTTGTGAGACACCGAGCCTTAGTAGCTGTACTGGAACCACACGGCGCCATGGAAATCAGAGGCAGAGCGCTAAGCAGAGCTGGGATCCAGCCCACAGCAGCAGGCAGAGACTGCACGGAAACAGCCTGTAACTACACCGAGGACGGCGCAGTGCCAGCTGTTTACTGAGGCTTACTGTGTACTGAGCATTCTCTGAGCCCTTCGCCGGGTAAGTGTGATACCACCCGCCCCCAGGAGGCAGGCACTAGTGTTAATGACCTTTTTGCGGGGGAAACAGAGGTCTGAGGAAGTTAGGAGACCTGTCCCGGCCACAGGGAGCAAGTGCTGGGCTGGGAGGTAACCCCGGGAAGCTGGCCCCGGAGGAGGCTGTGCCCCTCACCTGTCCTCCCTCGGAAGCAGCGACAACATCACATCTTAAGAAGAGCGTGTGGGATGGGCAGGTTTGGGTGCAGTGGCCTCTGGGAAATGCAATCGGCTATTCTAAGCATCACAAACACGCACAGAGATATAGTTACAGGATATTCATCACAGCACTGCTTATAGTCACAAAAGAAATGACTTAGATGTCCGTGGAAAAGTGCCTGGTTTACAGTTAGGAGATATAAAAAAAGAGACTCTCCATTTGCAATGCCAAAACAAACAATAAAAAACTAGCAATAAGAGATTTAAAAACCCCAAAAACCCTGCAGCATAAACTAACTACTTAACAAAAAAATTTAAAACCCATATGTGAAAAACTAAAAGATGTTCTTAAGAGACACAAAATATACTGCAACAAATGAGAAAACAGATGTTCTTGGGTAGAAAAAGGAAACACCATAAAGATGCCGGCTCTCCCTGAGCTGCAGACGCACTGCGATCCCCTGCGGGCAGAGAAGGCCGTGAGGAGCCTATTGGAGCAGCCGGAGGGTTAGGAGCCCTGAGCACAAACACGGACCTCGGCTCACGCTGTGCACACCAGGGTGTCAGGGAAGAGAACCGGCTTCCCCCGCCCACCGCTCTGTGCACGAAAAACTGGCTGCCAATCATATATCACTCAGAGCTGTTGCAAAGACTGTACAAAATAGTAGATAAAAAAGGTCCCATGTCAAATGTAAGTGCTTTACAAAGTCTTACTACTGAACCGCTCTAACACATGTGAGGTGGTTTTATTCGTTTTGCTGTGAAAGTCACAGAAAGGCTGCTGCAGGTCAAGGGCCATCGGAAGCGACAGGCCCCAACGCCCTTCACCTGTGAGTGTCCTGGTGCTTCCTAACACAAGAGCGCTCTCGGCACTCAACCGGGGACTCCCACCAACACCGGGGTTGGGACCGTCTTCAGCCCTCTCTGCTTCAGGACCGGAAACAGCGACGGGCCAGGCACTCAGTAGGACAGGCACTCAGTAGGACAGCCTCGCTGTGAGGGAGCCGGGCCTTCCCTGTGGCTGGGTGCAGGCTCTGCATCTCCGGCATGAACGTAAGTGCTATTCTATCCACACTCTTCCCCTCGCATCCTGCCAGGCTGTGCTGATTCCACTGTGATCGCCTGGCGACGGGGGTGCCTGCCAGGCTTCCCCACGTAAGGCCACCCTTTCCCCTTTGCAATGAAGAGGACTCCAGGTCATTATCAACTTCAAACTTTCGCTCTGTCCATTCACTCCTTCCTGTCGGGGTGGGCGCCCGGGGTCCTACGTAACTCAGTGGCTGACAATCGGCTGCCACCATGGATGCGGATGCTCTAAGTGTCCCCAGTGTGGCCAGGAGAAGCCTCTTCAAATGGCTGGTGCCCTCGCACGCCCCTTCTCTGAGCCCTCCCTTGCTCTCTGGCTCATCTTACACTCAGCCTGCCTGAGTCAGTCATCTCTCCCGGGCCCGGGTTCTGGAAGCTGAGAGCTATGGAACAGCCAGGATCTGAGCGCTGCCCATGCTACCGCCACTGGCGTCACTGTCCCGGCCCCCAGCGGCAGCGCTAGGAGCATACGCACGCACCTGCATACCTGTGCACACACACGTACAGCCATATTCATTTCTATATCTACCTATGTACACTGCAAGCCGTGAGCCCACACCAGTCCTCCATTCTAACCCAACACCACAGGGTTCCTGCTGGCTTTGCACCTTTCAGGTCTCCGGGAGTGAGAAACCTGACTTCCATGGTCCTCATACAGTGCTCACACCTGGTCAGTCCTCTGAGCACACCCGGCCGCACCTCCACCGCCACCCTCCCCACGCAGGTGCGCAGGCCCTCCCCTTGGCTCCTCAGCTTGCGCCCACTCTGACCTGCTCTGGGAGCCCCCTTCGCAGGACACCCCTCACCCCGCCGCACTTCACCTGCCAGCCTCCACGACAATCCCCGAGCAGTGAGTCTCTACTGAGCCCCCTGGCGTCCACTCTTCACACGAGCGGTCACAGCCACGCCTGCTGGCCCCTGGAGAGGACTCCGGAGCGTGCCCCTGCCCCTCGCAGCTGGCTCTGCACCGTCGCACTGTGATGACTCAGCCCCAGGCAGGCTGCACGCCAAGTCCTGTAAGTCCTTCCAGGAGCCACCAAGCCTGAGGGTGGAGCCGGGACCCCGACACGATAGGAAAATTTGTCCCCAAACACTATGTACTGTATCTTCTGAAAGAATGTCCTAAAACCTCCCCCAAGTTAGACGTGACCAGGAGTCGGGCCTGGACCCAGCTCTCCACGTGCGTCAGGATGCAAGCCTGGGCTCTAGGGGCGGGCCCCCAGCCCCCAGGGAGGACAGACGGGGGACAGACAGGTACCACGGGAGACTGGGATCGGGCCTGCCTGCATCCTGGCTGTGAGGATACCTGCTGGAGCTTCTGTGTGCTCACCTAAGCGGGGTCCGTGCTGGAGCAGGGTACATGGGGGGGAGGGGGTGCAGGGCATGGCGCAGACGCCTGAGGAGGCCTGGCGGGGACACTGCTCGCAGTGCTCGGCTCTTCCCTCAGGAACTAAGACAACAAGATGGGTAGAGGCACAAACTGTGGACCAACGGCCTCTGCTCCGCCTGGCTGCACCCTCAGGGTGAGGTACCTAACTTCCTGAGCTGCAGCCTCCCCACCCGTAATATCAAGACAACAGCCCCACCTCCCGGGGTTGCTGTGAGCGAGCGAGGCTCAGTGAGCGCCCGCCCCGCATCTGCAGGCACTCCGCACGGCCCACGCCGAGCCCGAGCGCCCGCCCCGCATCTGCAGGCACTCCGCACGGCCCAGGCCGAGCCCGAGCGCCCGCCCCGCATCTGCAGGCACTCCGCACGGCCCACGCAGAGCCCGAGCGCCCGCCCCGCATCTGCAGGCACTCCGCACGGCCCACGCAGAGCCCGAGCGCCCGCCCCGCATCTGCAGGCACTCCGCACGGCCCACGCCGAGCCCGAGCGCCCGCCCCGCATCTGCAGGCACTCCGCACGGCCCAGGCAGAGCCCGAGCGCCCGCCCCGCATCTGCAGGCACTCCGCACGGCCCAGGCCGAGCCCGAGCGCCCGCCCCGCATCTGCAGGCACTCCGCACGGCCCACGCCGAGCCCGAGCGCCCGCCCCGCATCTGCAGGCACTCCGCCCGGCCCAGGCAGAGCCCGAGCGCCCGCCCCGCATCTGCAGGCACTCCGCACGGCCCAGGCCGAGCCCGAGCGCCCGCCCCGCATCTGCAGGCACTCCGCACGGCCCAGGCAGAGCCCGAGCGCCCGCCCCGCATCTGCAGGCACTCCGCACGGCCCACGCAGAGCCCGAGCGCCCGCCCCGCATCTGCAGGCACTCCGCACGGCCCACGCCGAGCCCGAGCGCCACGCCATCACCATCACGGCTGCTAACGAAGTAACGAAGGGCCCACCAGCAATACTCACAGCCTCTTCTTATCCACCACTCGTTTCACGCGGATGGCTCTTTGTTCTGAGTACAGTTTGCAAACTCCTGTTGCAGGGGAAGCACCAGAACACAGACCGATTAAAAGGGCTTCTCGGGCAAAGGGCTCATCAAATACAACGAGACGCTGTGGTCTTCCGCCAGCAAAGCTGAGCGCACATCTCATCCACGGAAACGCCCCATGACGCTAGGACAAGGACTTACTTCTCAGGTAGTCCTGGGTGAAGTCCAGGATGGCGCTCCTGTGCTCCCTCACTTGCTGGGAGTGGGTCTCCTTGTGGGCTGCAACAGAAAGCAAGGCTCAGGTCTCGGCACGCACCTCTGCTGAAGAGCCAGGCGTCCCGCCTCCTCAGAGTGTCTCCACTCAAAGCATTTAACACCCAGCTACAGGACAAGAGCGGCGTGAGCAGCTGCCTTTTTAAAAGAGTAAGAGCGTCAGGCTTTACGAGATGAGAGATGAGCCTGCAGAAAAACCAGTCACACAGCTGACCATCTGGCAGCGCGTAAGAATGGTGTTTGGTGCGCCCACTTCTTGAGAGCGGACCACACACTCCCAGTGCCTGGGACGGTGTGTCCTGCCGCCCCCCCGCCCCCCCACTACCACTCACCGGGTCCCGTCGACTTAGAGTCAACCTTCCCTGGACTCCTGGCCACTAGATGCCTTTCTCCTGCAAACTTGCATCTCCGAGGCCCGAGCCCTGGACCCCGGCAGGTCAGCCCCAGGCACTGAGAGCTGAGCACCTGCTCGCACGTGACACCCATCACTGCTAGTCACCGACATTGCCATCTACAGGCAGCCATGGCTGTGCTTACTTTACACATAAGGAGACTAAGGCCGAGTCAATGGGCCCGTCACAAGGTCCAGCACTTAGCTCCTGGTTTTATTAGGTTCCCGTGTATGTTCTAGGTCAGTGGTTCTCAACCTTGGCTGCACATTAGAATCACCTGGGAATCCGAGGCCCAGAAATCAGGATTTTAAAAAGATTCCCAGGTGATTCTAATGTGCAGCCAAGGTTGAGAACCACTGTTGTAGGTTATGTCAGCATACCAGGGGTGGGCAAACTTTTTTACTCGAGGGCCACAATGGGTTCTTAAACTGGACCGGAGGGCCGGAACAAAAGCATGGATGGATTGTTTGTGTGAACTAATATAAATTCAAAGTAAACATCATTACATAAAAGGGTACGGTCTTTTTTTTTTTTTTAGTTTTATTCATTTCAAACGGGCTGGATCCAGCCCGAGGGCCGTAGTTTGCCCACGGCTAGCATAGACCCTTACGGGCACGGAGCATGACTTATGTGATTGCTAAGGGCTGACACACACACACACACACACACACACACGCATCTTCTCTGACCCTGGCCCCTTAGACAGCTTTTAGTTGTTTGGAGAGGTCCTGTTTATTTAACTTAGATTACGGCCTTTTCATTACTTTTATCTGCTTACGTTAAAACACTGATCAGAAAAAGAAGGATTTGGAAGCTTTAAAACCTGAATCTACACAGGTGCCCAGAGGGAGCTGTAACTGGTGATGCCGTGAGGATTCCAGGATGGTCGCGGCTGTGTCTGAGCCCCAGAACACCTCACCTTGATTCCTCAGCTGCTGAATGGCTTCTGAGCAGGTCCTCATGAACGTCTGCGCATCCTGGTCTATCTGGTCTCGCTCTGCATCTGTCATCCTCCCATATTCAGACAGGATATGGCTAAAAAGAGAGAGAGAGAGAGTGGGCATGGGGGCAAAATTAAAGGGCAGCAGCAAATGGGCACATCACGCAGCCCAGTGGGCGTGAGGGAAATAAGCTTCCCTGCCCAAGTGACAGCCACGCTGAGACTGAAGGAGGGGAGGGACCGGCCAGGCTCAGAGGTGAGAGGACGGTCAGGGCGGGGAACCCGCACTTGGAAGGCATCAGACAGAAAAAGCGCCTGCAGAGGCTAAGCTGGAGCAGCCGCGCAGAGAGAGGGACGCAGGCCTGGGAGCTGTCCGGCTGGAGCATGCAGCCCTCATTAAAAATGTGGCTTTGGCCCTGCCGGTGTACTCAGCGGTTAGGGCATCGGCCGCACACTAAGGGTCACAGGTTCAGTTCCCAGTCAAAGGCATGTACGGGTTCAGGCTTGCTCCCTGCTCCCGGTTGGGGTAGCGGGGTCAGGGACAAGGACAAAGAGAGCTGCTCACTTCCTCGCCCCGGGGTCAGAGCAGACCTCTAAATGACTAACTCTGAGAACATTAGATTAACATCCGCCTTTGCTATATTTTGACTTAATGGAACCTCAGCTCAGTGAAATGGAAAAGTCCTAAAGGTTAATTCGATAAAACTGATGACTCAATTAAAAGGTTATGTTTCTTTAGGGCACATTTTATGTTAACCTTTTAAATAGGAAATTAGCAGTATGGTTATTCTATTAGTAACAACAGCAGAAACCAAGAGACCCCTCCCACCCCCCTGCCCCTGTGGTGTTGTCTTGTTGCCAGGATATTGCAGAAATGGTCCATCTACCAGAAGTGGGAACTTATTTTTAAATGAAATCATTCAAGAGACCCAGCCAGAGGCGACCTAGGTTGCATGCTGTTCTGCTCTAGTAAAATGTCATTATTAAAAAAATTAAATGGGTCAATAAAGTCTGAGCTCTACATTATGGAAAAAATTACAGCTTCCTAATTATGTCCAACTAACAGAGCCTTATGGGTCTGAACGCAATATTTCTAAACATGTTCTTTCAATTCCACCATCATACTCCATCCAAATGCTGCTGGAGCGCCGTGGCCGCATGGCACAGGCAGGAGGGAGAGAGAAAGGCCTCCCAGTCAGGCTCTGGGCGGGAGCGCCGACTGGGAGGAGGGAGGGTGGCCTCTCTCCGTCTGGAGAGAATCTAGGGCATTGAGGCCACGCTTCCTTCCTAGTCCTCGTGCTCTGGGGCAGGAGTTGCCCAGGACTCCCAGCCTCCCCCTCAGCCTCCTCCCTCCCGCCCTCCCTCTGACCACCTGGCAGAGGGGCTGGCAGGAATGTGGCCCCACGTCCATCCACAGCCCCCCCCCCCCCCCGTGGGACCTGCTGCTTGGACAGCAGAGGCGCGGCTCTGTTCCTCTCACGGGCTCTAAAGGGACCTGTCCGCTCTCTGCGCTCCAGGAGCCGTGGCTGCTCAGTGGCATCCCCGGCTGTGAGTGTTTAACTCAGGAGCCCGCATCAAGGCCACCGCCCGCTGACCCAGCCCTGCCTGCCACCCTGGATTTCACTAGCGATAAACCAGTACCGCACCCACGGCGTCATGCTGGCCTGCCTCCTGCCTCCCACCTTTCGCCCCCCTCCCTCCCCGTGTCTGGCAGGAGACGCGGCGCTTTCTTTTTTCAGTGATCACCCCAACTGCATCACAGGTCAAATGGGGTTCCAACTCCATTTCTATCCACCAAGGGACTGACGTGTGCCAAGAACACTCGCAGTCAATCCTTGTGAAAAACTCTGTCCAGGTTTTACAAAGAAGCAAACAGCCGTGAAGTGAGCTGCACGCACACACATGGTTAACACTCGGCGAGCTGACGCCAGCTCCTAGGTGTGCCTGGCCCGAAGCCCTCGCTCTTTCAAAAGGACTGAAACAGGTCAGGAATGGAACTCAGAGCACATTAGCTGGCAATGACTGGTTGTGACCAGGAAACGGGTGATGGGCTGGTCAAGACTAGGAAAGCCTCAGGAGCCACAGCTCTGCCTGACCCTCACGCACAGGCAGGAAGGCCCAGCGTGCGCTGCCACTGAGGCTGGCCCGGGGACGGCTCAGGCAGTGCCCGCTCTCCTGAGGGCGTCCGAGGAAAGGCCTTGGCGTGGCCTGGCCCGGCGGTCTGGGAACACTGGCACGCGTGGGGGGCTGAGCTGTGCGAGAGAACTGCCTCGGTGGCACCGCTATAATCAGAGCAGCGCCCTGACACAGCAATCCTTTATTGAACCGCTGCTTTTTCCTTCCTGCACCAAATTTCAACGGCATTGTCTTATTTGAGTCTCCTCACTAAGCTGCTGAGGGAGCATCACCCTGAGTATTTCGAGCGGGGCTCCGCAGACGTTTTCTGAAAGGGTCCGACATAAACACATTACACTGAGGGCCGTGTGCCTGCCCCAGCGCTCCACTCAGCCGTCACAGAAATGCACACACGAGTGGGCACGGTGCTGCTCTGGTACATGTTATTAACGGGCCCTGAAATCAGAATTTCACAGAATTTTCATATGTGGAGAAGTTTATTGTTCTTCCCCAGCCATTTAAAAACGTGAAAACTATTCTTAGCTCATGGCTGTTCAAACACAGGAAGTGGGCTGGACGTGGCCACAGGGGCAGAGGCTGAGCCTGGCTGAGAGCGAAACACTGGGTCTATGGTGGTGGTTCTCAACCTTGGCTGCACATTAGAATCACCTGGGAATCTTTTTAAAATCCTGATTTCTGGGCCTCATCCTCCGGAAATTCTGTTTCTTTGTTACTAATGTTGGGGCCCCACCCCATAACAAAGAAAAAGAATTTCTGGAGGATGAGGCCCAGAAATCAGGATTTTAAAAAGATTCCCAGGTGATTCTAATGTGCAGCCAAGGTTGAGAACCACTGGTCTGTAGGCTGATGAGGTGGTGGCTTGAACTAAACCATCGCTTTACAGCCTTCACGCAGCCGGAGGCCTTTTTGCGGCCGAGGGAAGTTAACAATGGATGCCCACGGAAGAGCTGGACGCTGAAGGTTTACATCGTGCGGTTAAGTTTCCCAAGATAACTGCAGCTTCCATTTTATGGACCATAAGATTAGTACTTGCTATACAAACACACCTTTAGAAACAGCTTACACTGCCATCTAGTGTTCACCAACTATTTGAACTAAGAACTTAAAAATACCGCCTTCTTGGTCCTAGGCATAGGGTAATAACTTTAGTATATTTTTAGTTATTCAAATGAAATACACTTAAATGTACAAAGTTGTCTATGTTCAGTGACAAAGTGTCAAGGGTTATTTAAAATCCACCCGAGGTTAATTTTTTCTCTGGTAAAGCGTTTATACAAAACATCCCCCCTGTGTATATTGACAAGAGGGTTTCTTTTCCATTCTCCGGCCCCGTGAGAGGACGGGTTCTGGGGCCAATCCCCTCGTCTCACGGAGATAAAATCCTCCCGAGATGCTCCTGATTCTGTCATCTCCCAGGTCCAATCCAACGTCCATTACCCACACAACTGCCTGGTGTACACACCCGGGCACACGGAGGGCGGAGGGCAGGAGCCAGGACCTGCACCCCGCCGTGAGGACCTGCACCCCGCCGTGAGGACCTGCACCCCGCCCCCAGGACCTGCATCCCGCCTGCGCTCTGTCTGCAAGAGCTGCCACCTGCTCCAGAGACCATCTAGAGCAGTGGTTCTCAACCTTCCTAATGCCGCGACCCTTTAATACAGTTCCTCATGTTGTGGTGACCCCCAATTTCATTGTTACAAATTGAACATAATTAAAGCATAGTGATTAATCACAAAACAATATGTAATTATATATGTGTTTTCCGATGGTCTTAGGCGACCCCCGTGAAAGGGTCGTTCGACCCCCAAGGGGGTCGCGACCCACAGGTTGAGAACCGCTGATCTGGAGGCTCTGTCGAAATGCTTTATCTTTTAAGAACATCAACCTAACCACAGCCCCCCCCGGCCCCCGCCCCCCCCCCCCCCCGCCCCGCAAGCGCTCATCTCCACAGCATTTCCACATTCTTCCTGAGTGAGACGCTCTGTCCCCTCACCTGAGTTCCCAGCAGTGAGGTGCACACAGAGACGCCACCACCTGGGCTATGAGAACAGGACATGTTGCTGTGGGGGTATCGGGACTCTGAGCAGCCCTGTGCTCGGAAGGCGCCCTGCCAAACTGATCTTCCCCATTACGCCTCGGAGTCCCCCAGTAAAAGGTCAGGATGTCAGGATGGACAAGAACAGTCAGCAAAGCCACAGTAAGAAGTATGCACTTACCTGTGAGCATTGATGTAGTCTTTCCTGTGTTCCAGAAGAAAATCTCTCAGTTTGCCGATGTGTGAAATCTAAAATAAAACAAAACAAAATGTTTATATAGCTAGATGGGTGTTATACTCACATGTAATATTAACAGAGAATGGAATGCAAGTTGTAGAAAGATTCTGAAACTACAAACTGGACAACTTTGGTTTTAGACGTGTGTATAACCACTGACATTGCTGGCCTTGATCTCTTTTTAATGGCTCTTTCTTCCTGTCACTGTTGTGGCCTATGGCATTTTGGAGAAATGGTCTCTGAGGAACTCTGAGGTGACACGGGATAATGCATGTCTGGTATCTGCACAGCATATGCCAACGAGGGCCAATCCCCTTTTCTCTCTTTATCTAAACGGACCGTAAGGCAGAGCTCTTCCGTTTAGAAAAGGGCCCTCGCCAAGCAGCAGTGACATGGTTCAGGGCCACGGTTTATCCCTGCACAGCCGGACCCGGCCCCCCACGGCCGTGCCAGGATGAACAGAGAACACACAGTGCGAAGGATTCCGTTTGGGACGGCCGGTTTCAGCATCTTAAAAACCAACTCTACAGCATCTACCATGTGCCACGTGCTGGGCACGGAGCTCTGAATGAAAACACACAGTAAACCGAGGAAGGAAGGTAATAAAAGTGTGCTGCTCTAAACCAGAGTTGGTGGCTTTGTTATGGCAGCAGTGAGACTCTAATACGCCTTGTCTAAGCCAGTCTGGGCTGCTGTAACAAAATACTATAGGCCGGGGCCCTAAACAACGGACATTTATTTCTCACGGCTCTGGGGGCTGGAAGGCCACGATCAAGGTGCTGGTGGATTCGGTGTCTGCTCCAGAGACCATCATAGTGTGGTTTGCGCACGCTGCCTTCTTGCTGAACCCTGACACGGTGAAGAGAGAGACCCCCTCTCTCACGGCTCTTCTGAAAGGGCACCAATCCCATTCGTGGGGCTCCACCCCGTGAACTAATCACCCCCAAAGACCCCATCTTCAAATACCATCACATTGGGGGTTCGGACTCCAACATATGAATTTTGGGGACACACACATTCTGTCCATAGCACACCTACTTAGGGCCTAATTATCCAAAACAGGATTTTTAGGAGTCAAAAAGTTTTCCATAAAAAGCTTTAAAAGGTCCAAGGAAAGTTTTAAAGGAATCTACTCCATAAGCTAGATCCAGCTGCCACCGCCCTCTTTAGCTAGGTCTAGTCTAGGGGGAATGGTTCGTCGGTGTGTGTGCCAGGAACAAGAAGGCCCCAGGGGCATCTCAAAAACATAACTGCAAGAGGCTTCACTGAAAGTATAACATATGTGATCCCAATGTCTTACGCTCTGTAATGGCAAATTTCTATAAAATGAATGTATTAAAATGGAGTGAAGCTTATTCAGGATTAAATGGAATTCTTGGTAACTTAAGAGGTGTTAAATAATTACAATATCATCAATAGAACTCAATAACTTAACATGAGCACAATGTATAGGTAATATTTCAAATGCCAAGGATACAAAGAAATAAATGAGCATTGAGATTTCTATAGGTATTTGACAACCCTGAAATTTTATCAGCTTCCTAAAATAAACACACGCACAAATCGCAACAGATCAATAACAAGGAAAAAATCCCAACAGGCCTCTGATTTACCTAAATAGACAGCATAAGCCCCCGAATAGCATCCCAGGATAGGGTCATTGCCATGAGGATTGATCTGACAGTTTAACCACGTGACCACCACCATCTCTATGAAAACTCTTGGCCAACCTCTCATCTGTTTACTGTTGTGCTTAAGCCCTATTTTGAGAGAATAAACTGCCAAAAAAAGCATATTATATTTCACACAACTGTGATATGCCCCTGGCGTTTTCAAAGTTTTAGAGAGGTTACAGAGTTGTACGCTTTGGATAGTGACTACTTCCACATATAGTGTTAATTCTGAAAAGAGTTATTATATGTGTGTACCTACAGAGAATAACTCTTACTTTTAAAGGAGAAAGACCCTCATTTCAAGTTTGACAAGAAAATCAGAGTAAAATGGAAGCACATTTGCCCCATTAAAATCTAAAACCAGTGTCAGCCTCTTGGTCTTAATATCATTCAATGACAGGGAGAGGGTTCCTGGGAGGAAGGAAGGGGTCACTGGGCAAGTGCCTGCGGGGCCAGGGAGGTGATAAGACGCAAGGGCTAACGTCAGGAGCGCTTTGGGGGCTGAGCCACGAGTGGGGCATTTCATAGACGGGCAGTGTGGGCAGGCCGTTCCCACAGCTCTGTGCCTTTGTGACCGCTCTTTCTCTGCCTGGAACAGCCTTCTCCCTTGATGCAATCCCATGCCACCCAAAGAACCCCAGCACATCCTTCAAGTTCCGCTCAAATGCCACCTCCTCCATGAGGCCTTCCCTAACACCTCCCGCAGTGTTTTATAGACCCCTGCCAGCACTTTCCATGTGATAGAAGTTTTATCTACGACCCCATCAAACTTCCATTAAGTTCTCTGAGGTCCCACTCACTGCTGTGTCCCCAGGACCTACATGTTGGATGGGGGAAAGGAGAAGAAAGGGCTTCAAGATCTGATTACTCCTGACTTACGAGTTGAATCAAGAAGTAGCAAAGCTATCACGAGGGGGCAGCTGGATACTGTGAACAAACACGAAGAAGAACACACCGGCTCTGTGCAAATCATCCTCCTCGCCTGTCAGTGAGGGGCAGGCAGGTGAGCATCGCGGTACAATCGCTGACAAGGTGGGAGCTGACGAGCTGCAGAGAGAGGCTCTGTTCCCCAGCTGAGCACCTTCCCGGGAAGGTTCTACAGCGGGGCCGCGCCCGGACCACACGCCACACTGTACTGTCTATCGGACAGGACAGATGGATGAAGACGGAATCCTTCATTTCCAACATACACCGTGATTTAAAGCGAGAACCGAGCTGTAGCTAAAAGAGAAGGGAAGGCAGTGCTAGCTACTGCCTCCTCCACCCGTCACTGCAGGGGTTACTTCATCCGACTCTGACAACCCCGTGGAAATGGTCCTTCCTCAGCGGGAAGGACCCAAAGGCCCGAGAGGCGGAATCAGCGAGAGCAGGAGTGGGACCCTCCTGACACTGAGCTCCGCGGGCTCCCTATACCACCGGTGACAGACACGCTGCTGTGTCGTGTCATTTGACCCTGAAGTCACTTCAGTGCCTGCTGTGTACTATTATTCAACTGGTTTGAAAACCTCCCACTTAACATCTAATGGTGCTAAGTAATGACAATGAATTTTTATTCAGGTATGATAACAGCATTATGTATGATTGTTTTTAATATTTTTGTTTTTAAAATCCTTATCTTTTAAGGATATGTGCTGAAAAATTTACAAATAAAATGACATCCCTGGGGTTGCTTCAGAATAATACGGGAGTGGGGAGGGAAGCGGATGAAACAGGGTCAGCCCTGAGTTCACCGCCGCTGAAGGTGGGTGCTGGGTGCATGGGTCCCTATCCACTCCGTCCCCTGCAGGGCATTTAACATTTTCCTGAGTAGAATATTATTTTGAAAAATCTCCGACTTAAGCACTTTCTTCTCTTAACATTTTTAGTCATTTTGAAGTGCAGATTTTCTGCTGCCAAAACAGCAGTAACCCACACCTGAACCAACACCTAAATCCATTGCAATCTCAGCTGCTTTATTTCTAAGCTCCACTGAGCAGTCTCACTGCCACGTCGGCAAATCGGCACCATCTTCTTTGAGAGTCTGCTATGAACCAGGCAGCTTCCAAGAGCTCTGCGTGCACCAGCTCATCCAATCCTTCCAGCAGCCCCACGAGGCAGCCACATCATCACACCCGTTTACAGGTGAGAAAGTGCGTCGGCCGAGGGGGGAAGCCCGGATGGAACCCAGGCACCCGGGTGTCAGGCACAAATGGAAACACAGGTTCCTGATAGGTCACGACTAATTTTCGGCAGAGGGCTCACAGGGGACGACCGGGGACTGGGAACAGCAGTGAGTGAGTGAGCACATCAGCTGCTTTTCTCCTCTCACATCTGGATCAACAGTGCACTGCCCTCGGGATGTCCCGGGCGTGGCTGTCACAGAGCACCAGCCACGTGTGCCAGGCATGAACTGCTCGGCATTCGCTCTGTCAGTTACTCCCCATAACAACCGGATGAATCCACATCACCCCATCCCCTTCTAAGAAGCATGGAAACTGAGGCCCATGCAAGGTCACAAGGCCAGTGGTGGCGAAGTGGGGTGGATGGCAGGCCTACACCTCAAGGGCCAAGTTACTTATTCCATATTATACCGCCACGACTAAGAAAACTACTCATGTTCAGCTTGAGTTTGAGGTCTTTCTTCAGGGAAGTATGAGCAGGGTTTCAGGTGAGACGACTGTGTGCATGGGCTTAAAATGTGTCGGAGCGGGCAGAAGACTGCGGGAGGCTCTTGTGTCCCCACACACGTGCCCAGTGAGATGTGCCTGCCAGAAGGAACGTGACCCCAGCGGAGGCCACTGCTCCGAGGCGGCTGCTGGCCCCTGTGGGGTGCTACCCAGGAGGCTTGGAGCTGACGGCCATGGGGATGTTGAGAGTCTGAGCAAGGACACGGGTGGTTGGAGAGACTGGCCAATATGACCAGTGCTCCCTGCGTGTCAATCAGCAAACACCGCCCTCAGGGCTGCAAGGTGCCACGAAGGCAACTTCCAGGAGGGGTGCTGCTCCCCAACCTGAGCTCATCTCCACGCGTCTCAGGCCGGGGCGCGGGCAGAGCAGGCCGGGGCGAAAGGTGGTGTGTAGGGCTGGTGAGGAGCAGGGCAGGCGGGGCGTTGGCAGGAACACGGGGAGCTGGCTGGGTCCTTTGGCTCTCATCTCGTTGGGCCGCCTTCTGCTGTCCTCAGGCTTCGTGTGGGAGGACGTCGCTGACAGCTGCTCCCGGCCTCTCAGAGGGCGGAGGCGAAAGCTCTCTGGCTTATGACGTGGAGAAGGTGGGCGTGCTCGGCGGCCAGCGGCAGAGGGGGCTCTTCAGGTCCAAGCTCCATCCACATCTGGCCACAAATAGAACTTGGCTTTTTGTG